GTTACTAGTAAATAGAGCGCTTGCGCTCATTTCCCAAGGATCAACTCAACAAAAGCCATGGCGGCCACGTAGGTGTTCCAGACAAATAAGTCTCATTAAAATAAAATTCTTTTGAACTGGAACACCAACATGGCAGCCGTGGCGTCATGTGCAAATGCTCTATAGTACGGCGATCACACAGTTAAGGCAATAATCACAATTACAATAATTCGAAGACTTAAACATGCACGTGTGTTAAATAACTCTATGTGTGCATGTGCTGGGACGGGGGACGAATCAAAGGTCGGGCATTGTCAGGCTTAGTTGGGAAAATGCCATTTGCACTGGTACACCTATGTTCAAATCGAATGGAGAGTTAGCGAGTAGAAGCTTGTCTGAAAAGAATGTATACATACAAGTCTGCTACTGCAATGACTTGCAATGACAATACCCATATTACCATAATAGCACGGTATATACTTCAAAATATTCAATCATGATTTAATTAATGTTCTGTCAACTTTCCAATTAATATAAACAACCTTCCAATTAATGTAAAAATCTTACTATAAAGTACATATAAAAGGAATGCCACTTATAAGTGAAACAAACATATGGTTTGCTAAAAACCAACTTGAAATATGTCGAGAATATTCTAAATAAAACAGTAACTACTTTGTTTCATTGTTTCTACTTTAAACGCTACACTTTAGTAATATTGTCAATAGTTGCTTAGTGGTGAATTCAATATCAAAGCTTCACTCCTTAAATATGAAAAGAGCGTATAAATAGTCACCAAATCTACAGCCAGTATGAGTATAGGTTTAATTAATACGGTACACTTTCAAATATTATTGCTGTAAATTTAGTAACATGACCTAAATGTCAACCAAAATAGCGATGATATACATTGAAATACCTCATCTTTGATGTTTTGTCGACAATTGTTTATCTTTTAATATCTCCGTTGTTTTGTTGATGAAATATTGAACATATAATACCAAACTTCCAATTCCAAAGCACACTGCAGTGTTGGTCGGAACTGATGATGTTTATTTATTTCAGGCCTGATCGCAGGCAATCTCATGTCATGAACGACAGTTTCCGAAGTTGACGACAATTTCCGTCACATCTTGACATCCTTCGTTCAGCTTTACATTGTGGCTAGCCCGCGAACGAGCTAGCCACAAAAATTTGATACTTTCTACATTTAAGGTGGCTCCCTACAGTTAGTACAGTTTAAATACATTTACATGGATCAGACTTTATCTTCGCGACGCGCGCGTGGAATCTTCGTGGTTCGACAAAGAAGTTTCCACGCGTGTTCGGCAGTTTTTCATTATAATCCTAAATTTTTCTGAATTCGAACAATACGTTATGTTTATTGACTTGTAAATTAACCTGTCTTTTTAGTGTGTTTTTACGTATATTTACGTTCAGCATTGTTGTGTCGCGAACTGAATTGATACTGTTTTCAATGAACTTTTGAAAAGTTGAACTGTCGCCGAAATTTATCTGCTAAATCTAACATAACAGTTACAAGTTGTTTTATATGAAAAGTCAAACTTGTAGCACGAAAAGCTTGGCTTGAACTTGCGCTCTTTGTTGAAACGTATCGCAGCTGGTGCTCGCAAGTTCAAAAGAAATTGCGATGAAGTTTGGACTAGTTCAAGTCAATCGCAAGCTAGCAAAGCTATACCCGCAAGTCATACCGCAGTTAAATACTTGCGAAGACTTGAGTTCTCGTTTGATCAGGCCTTTATTCAGCAAGTTCCCTCAGGTAATCAGACTGTTAATTAATGATTCCAGCTACACACTAAATTTTGATCTCGGCAAGAAGAACAAAATTCCTCACCACAGCTAGAAAGAGCATGTTAAAATTAGTAAAATTGCAAAGTTTGGCCGCGAAATGTTGTAAAATAAGGAAATTATAGCCCTCGAAATTTGCAAATTTTGTATTAATTTGTATTACACACGAGAAAATGCACCACTTTTGGCCCAAATGCGGTGCATTTTCCTGTGCGTAATACAAATTAATACAAAATTTGAAAATTTCGCAGGACTATATTTTCCTCATTTTACAACATGTCGCGGCCAAACTTTGCAATTTAGCTAATTTTAACATGCTCTTTCTAGCTGTGGTGATGGATTTTGTTCTTCTTGCCTAGATCAAAATTTAGTCTATATAGCTGGAATCATCCATTAATACTAATATCTGGTACTAGTTAATGCTACAATCTTGGACAAAACCCTTGAGACCATTCCAGCCAATATTACAAAGTTATTGAACATTGACAAAACACACTTTGTCTCCCCCTCCCCCCCAGTTCAATGTTGTGAACAACGCCGAAACAACTTTTGGTACTATACCATGATACAAGCTCAAGATTGAGTTATCATGCACAATTAAATTCAGTGTGTTTCAGACAATCTTGGACAAAACCCTTGAGACCATTCCAGCTAATATTACAAAGTTATTGAACATTGACAAAACAAACTTTGTCTCCCCCTCCCCCCCAGTTCAATGTTGTGAACAACGCCGAAACAACTTTTGGTAATATACCATGATACAAGCTCAACATTGAGTTGGGGGAGCGGGGGTTTAAGAATGGCAACATGATTCAACAAGGAGTTTATCATAAAAATACGCGAATTTTCTGTAGGGGGAAAATAGTCTCAACCAGTTATGTCCAAGATTGTCTGAATGTGGGAATTTTACAGGCATACCAATTGTTTGAGAGTTATGGTTAGAAAGGCAGATCGGTTAGTGTTGCGATGGAGGAAAAATTATTAAATATATGTTACACTGCAAGTACTGCAGGTAACGTGGGAACATTCCCTGGTCCATTTGAACCAATTAGCTACTGCTATAGAACATAGCTACAGAGTTTAAAAAGAAATGGAATCATGGACATGCTAAACGTTGTCTACACAGCTACTTTCATATAGGCAATCGGCACTTTTCACAGGTTATAATAGTATGGCGACCCCCCACAAGGAACAAAGGGTCGCTTGTACAATGTTCAAATTGGCCATAGTAGAGAAATGCGAGTATATCGCCATGACCTTTGGAGCATAAACCTTTTATAATAATATATAAGAACATTTCAAACGATTAACGAAAAGATTTGATGTGATATCAACGATAAACGGGAATAGCAGCAAGATTTTATAGTAAATGATAGGTCTAGTCATTGTTTTAAATTGGAGTCGCCGTTTACCGTTGTAATGGCCTGTTTACCGTTCTTTCATCAAACCACGATAAAGATTATACTTGGTTAACCGTCATATAAAAAAATTCGGGTTAAATTATAAGTTTTAAAAGCAAGTTTGAGGCTCATAAACTATAGAACAAATTACGTCATCTTATAAAAAAATACCTATATACAGCAACACTTGAACGTGATATTTACATAATTGAATTAAATCCCAATGCATGTGTCTCGACCTCTATGCCCTAGTAACATGATATTACTCACTTCTGGCAGTAGAAAACTATATATTTTAGATGAAACAGCAAGAAAAATTCATGCGTTTCATGCGTATATTTTAGGATGTGACAAGTTCAAATGCATTATATTGCTTGCTTTTCATGCAAACAAATATATATATTGCTCGAAAAGCAAGTATTAACGTGTATATCCATCTTCCAGACTACTGGAGTGGAAGAAAATTAAAAAAGATTGAGTTATCATGCACAATTAAATTCAGTGTGTTTCAGACAATCTTGGACAAAACCCTTGAGACCATTCCAGCTAATATTACAAAGTTGTTGAACATTGACAAAACAAACTTTGTCTCCCCCTCCCCCAGTTCAATGTTGTGAACAACGCCGAAACAACTTTTGGTACTATACCATGATACAAGCTCAAGATTGAGTTATCATGCACAATTAAATTCAGTGTGTTTCAGACTGTAGTAATTCCAAATAAACGTCATGTCTCTACTGATATATAAAATACGTACATTTCTGGCATAAAATCAAACAAAGAACCAATAATTAACACCTATATAATTATGTACAAAACTTCATTGCGACAGAATAGTTTAATTTGGATTTGCATTCACGAAATCGAATGTTCACGAAATTAAATATTTGAGAAATTAAAGTGCTACAATCTACTTGAAGTGGGACAAACACCACAATGACAAGTGCCTTTTATGTCTACTTTTCTGTATCTCTGGAAGTATGTGAGAATTCTTTGAGATATCTTCACCCAGCCAAACACACTCGACCTCCACGGAGAACAGTTTAGAACTTACAGAACTATCCAGTATAACCCTTAATTAGGTTAGTTCAGTCTTTCTACTGTCGCAACGCTAAGCCATCTCTGGCGAAAACAGCAGTTTAGCACTGAAAGAGCTATTCATGATATCCAGTATCGACATCGCTATTAACTGCAAATTTAAGTTTGTTTAGATTTCCTCCAGTTGTAACAATGAAACATTGATGATCCTTACTGGATCTCTGGTAAACACTGATGGAGTTATGCAGTATAAATGTTAGTCTAGCTTAGTGTCTTAATTTCTACATTTCATTGGACCTCGACGACAAACTGTTTAATCACTGACTACTGATCAAAATACATGATCTACTTAATGTATTACCCGGGGACAGTTGTAAAAAACTCTTTAGTACTTTTTAACCACAATTTTGTAGGTGAATAATAGTAACTTTGCAGTATGTGGGTTTACTTGATTAATCGTCTATGCATTCTCGTATTCCCACATCTGAGTGTATGATTTGTTGTCCGTCCAACCAAATGCCTAGTTTACTTTCAAAGATCAAATTCCAAAGGTCCTGAGAATGGGTGAACTATATTCTTTTATTTTCGATGTTGTGCCGCGTCGTATGGTTAATACAGTATAACATGTTCGCACAAATTTGATTTAGATTATGCTTTATAATACAGGGTGTATCAAAAAAAGTAAGACAATTTTGAAATTGCTCTCAATTCCACAATTCTGTTCATGAAATGTAATTTTTGCTATGTATGTATGGATTGCTTGAGTTCTTAAATTGTGGAAAATATAAAAAAAATTGAAGATAGTAAATTTTGCTATCCAGGGGGGTGGTCAACTTTTGCTCCCCTAAAAGTAGCTTGCGCACGGAAATGACAAACGGTACTCTTTTTTTGAGTTCATGTATGAAAAGTTCGCTATTTGTTGCATTTATGATAAAATTTCGGCAGGTTTTTACCGAGTACAAATCGTCCGAAAAGCCTATGAAAACGTTATATTTTTCTCTGCTGGCGCTGTTCTTGCTTCATTATGAATTCATTTTTATTCCCATGAGAGTTCCATGGAATTTCCATGGAATTTGTGCTTTCGAGCTGTTTGTGCTGAAACGCATTGTCTCGTATAATACCCCGTACACTTTGAAATAGCGATGCCACAATTTACCCCGCAGCAGAGAGCTTTTATGGTATCAGAGTTCCTCCGTAGCAACAACATAAACTTGGTTCGCCAAAGTTTCACGAAAGAATATCCAGATGTACGGATGCCCTTCACGTGCGAATACGTGAAGGGCATCGTACATCTGGATATTCGCTCGTGAAACTTTGGCCAACCAAGTTTATGTTGTTGCTACGGAGGAACTCTGATACCATGCATAAAAGCTCTCTACTGCGGAGTAAATTGTGGCATCGCCATTTCAAAGTGTACGGGGTATTATACGAGAGAATGCGTTTCAGCACAAA